GCCGTGTGTGTGGGGGCCTCAGCCAGGGCGTGCTGTGTACTTTGGGGGGTAACCATGTTTACAGGCCGCCCCTCCCCATTCGAGGTCAGTGTGCTACCCCCGAGTCAGCCAGGCCAGGGCAGCCTGTCCATGTGGACAGTTCCTCCTGCTCCGTCCCGTGGCCGGGAGAGGTGGGGACAGGCCCCCTGGGCAGAAGGGGCCGGAGAGGAGAGGCGCGAGTCCTCCCCGGGCGGGAGGGGCGTTTGCACCTGTGAGAACCGAGGCGGCTCGGGCAGGACCACTGCCTGCCTCGCGGAGCTTCTGGGCCTGGAGAGCCTCTCCTGGCAGGTTCAGGGCGCAGGCGGGGACCGTGGCCCTGTCCCCGGCCAGAGGTGCATGAGGGTGACGCCCTCCCCTCCCCTCCCAGGCGTCAGTTTCCTCATGTCTCAGACGCTAGCCGTGCTCCGTGGTGGCTGTGGGTTCATGTCCAGCGCACGCGAGTGCCCCCAGGGAGCAGGTGTGTGCTCGGCCCGTGCTCAGGCCCCCCTCGCCTGCCCCGCGCAGCAGAGCCGGGCCTCCCAGATGCTCTGCAGCGAGCACTGAGCGCCGGCCGGGCCAGGCCTGGGAGCCGCCTGCAGGGAGCCCCTGACCTCGGCGGGGTTGTCAGAGCCCCTCGGGCCGCGCTGTGGCTTGGAAGGTGGCTGCCCCCCGCGCTGAGGCAGCATCGGGCTCTGTCTTCCAGAACTACATGTGCCCCCTGAGGCTGGTGCTGAGCCCGGCGGACATGGCGGCTGTTTTTATCAACCTGGAGGTGAGGCCCTGCGCGCCCCCCTGCAGGCTCTGTCCCGGGTCCCGGGCTACACCCCCCTGCGGGCTCTGTCCCAGGTCCCAGCTATGCCCACCTGTGGGCTCTGTCCTGGGGTCCCAGGCTACACCCCCCTGCGGGCTCTGTCCCAGGTCCCGGGGTGCACCACCTGTGGGCTCTGTCCTGGGTCCCGGGCTGCGCCCCCCTGCAGGCTCTGTCCCGGGTCCCAGCTATGCCCACCTGTGGGCTCTGTCCCGGGTCCCGGGCTGCGCCTGTACCCAGGTCCCAGGCTGCACTGCATCCCTGCCCAGGGCTCGGTGGGTCCTGGCTAAGGGGTGTTTTGTGGCTGGCAGATGAGAGGAGGGACTTGGTTTCGGGGGACTTGGGTGTGCTCAGGCCTCCTCGGGCGGCCAGCCCCATAGCCCTCCTGGCTGCGTTACACCCACACTTCTGTGGGACGCACCCCCACGCCCGGGCCTCTCTGTCCGAGAGCGAACAGGGACCCGTGGCCCCTCTGGCTGGTGCTGCTCACGTGCCGATGGCTTTCCCTCCAGGACCTGATCAAGGTGCACCACAGCTTCCTGCGGGCCATCGACGTGGCCATGATGGCGGGCGGCGGCACGCTGGCCAAGGTCTTCCTGGAGTTCAAGGAGAGGTGGGTGGCGGCCCCTCCTGGCTGCGGGGCCTCGGGGACGCCTGGGCGCTCTCTGGGTCTGGGTGGGACAGTGCAGAGCTGACCAGTGGCTTCACCGGCCGGGTCCCCTGGCTGTGTGCCACCCGCGGCAGGTGGCGTGTGTGCGCCTGTGCATGTGTGCGTGTGCATGTGCATGCACGTGTGTGCATGTGAACCTACATGTCCGCATGTGCATGCCCAGGCTCCTGATCTACGGGGAGTACTGCAGCCACATGGAGCACGCTCAGAACACGCTGAACCAGCTCCTCGCCAGCCGGGAGGACTTCAGGCTGAAAGTGGAGGTAACAGTGGCTCCCGGCCCGGCCCCTGGCTCATCCCCCTGAGGCTGCAGCTCCATGGCCTCCTGCTCACCCCCAGTGGGAAGGTGGGGACGGGGTAGTGATATACCTTTTTCTTTTTAAAATTTTTATTGATTTCAGAGAGGAAGGGAGAGGGAGAGAGAGAGAGAAACATCAATGATGAGAGAGAATCATGGATCGGCTGCCTCCTGCACGCCCCCACTGGGGGTCGAGCCCGCAACCTGGGCCTGTGCCCTGACCAGGAATCGAACCGGGACCTCTGGTTCATAGGTCGACGCTCAACCACTGAGCCACGCTGGCCGGGCTGATAGGACCTTTTTGTGTGGATTTCAGCAGGTGGTTTTTTCCTCTGTGGGTGGGCAGTGAGCAGGTGGAGGGCACTGTCCCGGGACAAAAGACGGCCTGAGCCCCTGGGTGCAGGTGAGGTAGGCCCCAAGGACCTCATCTGGCTCAGTGCGGGGCTGTGACTGACCCCTGACCCTGGCCGACGTGAACCCCAAGGGGACCCCTGTGACGGATGTTTGCTGGGAGCTGTGGAGCCTCCCCGCTCCCATCTCGCCCGGGCTCAGGGCCGGTCTCCTGTGGGGTTTCCCACATGAGCCCCACTCAGGACCCTGTCCTCGTTCCCCTCCTCGGGGTGCCAGGCTGCTCCCCAGCTGGGTTCCCGTCAGATCCTGTTTCCGGAGTGGGTCCCGGTGCTGGGGCCCTTTGCTCAGCAGTGCGGGGATGCCCGGTGTCCAGACAATGACGGGGAGCCCCTGGTTCCGCAGGTGGTCCCCCTAATGTGAGCCGGCTCCCCGAGGGTGTTGAGGCAGGCCCAGTGGGCGCCAGCCCCCGAAGTGCAGTCCTCGCGTGGCCACTGCGGACCCGAGGCTGTGGGAGGCGGCAGCCCCGCACCTGGCGATGGGGGAGGGGGTTCTGGGAGCCAGGCCAGACAAGGACGGGACGCCCGGGCCCCAGTTCCGGCCTCAGGTCTGCCCCCGGCCGGGGTGTGGGAGCGTCGGGGTCCAGCGTCCCCGGGCAAGGACTCCCCTCATCGCCTTGCTGCCCCGACGCCCAGGAATGCACGCTGAAGGTCCAGGACGGGAAGTTCAAGCTGCAGGACCTGCTGGTGGTGCCCATGCAGCGGGTGCTCAAGTACCACCTCCTCCTGAAGGTGAGCCCTCGGCCTCCTCGGCCGGGCCGGGCGGAGCCACGGGGAGGCTAGAGCCAGCAGACACATTCGATGGCCAGGGGCACTGGGAGCTGCTCTCTGTGCCGTTTGCCCAGTAAGTGTACGAAGGAGAACTAGGATGAAGTGGGCAAGCAAGCAGAGAAAGTGGGAGAGACGGGACGCCTCCCCCGGCCAGGAGTGAGCGTTCCCGTGGCTGCGCCTTAGCCGCCCTGAGCTCCCGGCAGCCACGGAGAATGGGAATAGGAAGCCCTGGGCAGACGGACCTGGGGCGACGCTGGTTCTGGGAGGTGCTGAGGGAGGCTCTTCCGTGAACCAACCTGTTCCCTGGGGGCTCAGCTCCCAGCTTTGTGCTGCTAGCGGCTCCTGTTACCCACAGGACTTGGGGAAACCCTCCCTCGAAGCAGTGTGTGGCCTGGGTGGGGGCCCGCTCTCTGCTGGAGGGGGCGGCTGAGCCTGTCTGTGTCAGGAGGCCTCATTCTGTGCCCGCACGCTGTGCCCGGTGGGGGCGAGGGCAGAGGCCAGGACCCCCTGAGGGGTGACCCATGGCTCCCTTCTCACCCCCTCAGGAACTTCTGAGCCATTCCACCGACCGGCCCGAGAGGCAGCAGCTGAAAGAAGCACTGGAAGCCATGCAGGTGGGTGGGTAAACTGAGGCAGGGAGAGGCCAGGCTGGCCTGGGGCTTAGCGAACAAGCCTGTGACCCTAGATGTAGCGTTTCCTGGGGAGCAGGGAACAGAGGAGGGCACGGGGTGGTGGGGGAGACACAATGACGGGCAGAGGGTCGGGGCCGGGGGCGCTGCAGGCTTTCCCGCTGTCCGCTGGGGCCTCAGGTTCCCAGGTCCTGGACTCAGTTCTGGGCATCTGGCCTGTGCTGTGTGCTGCCCAGCCCTGGGACTTTCCGCT